TTACCACCACCACCACCACCCCAATGCACTGGGACATCACCAACATCCAGCCAGGTTGAAGAACACCATGAATTATATCTTCAGGGCTCAGCCTGAAACCCCAAGAAACATTGGGCTTGAAGGGTGGTGGTGTGTATATACAGTAGATGCATCTGGGCTCTAGTGTGCTTTTATATAGATTTATGTGCACGCACATCAGGTTGACTTATGAAACAGATGTTCCAGACAGACAGGAGATGGACTGTAACCCCGAGCTGTGAATTTGTGTGAGTGGGATGGCACTCAAGTTAGTAATCCTGGACACAATGTCCTTTCTTGCATCCTCTTCTTTCTCTGCTGGCAAAAGACTGCAGATCTGCTCTTAATTAGCTATGATTAGCTCTCTTTTTTGATATTTCAGTTGTTGGCTGATAGAGCCATCAATATCGATTGCTGTTTTTTCACCCGCGAGGATGACATTTTGTTCTCTATGGAACTGGACTTATAGAAGGATTGGTTTCTATTGCGCCTTGTGAGAAACTTGACATACCAGCACAAGACTACTGAGATGGGTGGGTGTCCCCACTTTGGCTAACAGCCTTCAAGCAGAGGCTAGACAGTCATCCGTAGGAGATGCCCCAGCTCTGTAACTTTACCTGTTTATTCAAGCCTTTCTTGTGAACTTACCATCTGTAGTGTGATTTTGTACTGTGTACTCCATGATTGTGCCTGGCTTTGAAATCCTGAGATCCTGCATTTCTAAATATCCATCCATCCATCCATCCGGACACACTCCAACAACAATCTCGGTCCCCAGGTGTAGGGTATCCATGGCCTTCCAGATGTTGTTGGAGTTCAGCTTCCACAATCCTTAGCTGTTAGCCATGCCAGATTTGACTGACAGGAGATAAAAATTCCAAGAACATCTAAAGGACAACGTTAAGTACCCAGTTCTGTCTTCTATGACATGTAAATGCCACCTTCAGAAGAGTTTCTGTACCTTTCCTCTTTCTCCTTCAGAGGGAATTGGTGCCAGAAAAATCTAACATCAGAAAGGCAATATACAATAAACCATAGAACAGTGGTTCCCAGCCTTGGGTAATCAAGGTATTCTTCAACTGCAACTCCCAGAAGCCTCTGCCACTAGCTGTGCTGGCTGGGGTTTCTGGGAGTTGCAGTTTAAGGTTGATTTAAGTAATTAAGTAAGGGCAGCTGTAAAAGTGGTGGGAGGGTTTTTGCCAACAGGCCACCCTCTGGTTGCACAACTGACAGCTGACAAAACTCCTGTGCCATTACTCTCATGTGTGTGGTTTCGCACTAGGATTTTTAGCCACGTGTATTAATTGACTTAGCCAGAGCATGTAGGTTATTAGCATTCGTTTTGTGAATGGCTAATTTTAAGTGTCATAGGACATTTTGAAGTTTTAATTGCAACTGAGCGACATGACCTGCCCCTTTGAAAATGGGACTTTTTGCTGCTTTACACGATAAGGGAATTTCGAGGGGAAAATAGGGCTAGAAACTACCTTACCAAAAATTTCCAGTATACCAGCAGAATAAGAGATTCTTATCATGGTTCAGATGTTAGTGATACTGCATTTGTCACTGCTAGTAATTGTGCGTTTGAATATGCTCTTCGCCAAACCACTGTAAATTCAGATATCTGAACCTCTAAGGCTGTTCTCTGTGTGTTTGAAGAAAGGGACTGTGTTCCATGAAAGTTAAGGGGGGGTCCCATGGCATCTTGCTGTTTCCCCCCCTGAAAACTGACCTTTTAAATGTGGCCTGTGTCTTAATGCCATCTTCATCCCCTCAATGAACCAAAGCGTAATCTGCAAACGAATGTTTGACTTCTAGTCATTGCTATTACTTCTTCCATGCATTTGTTATTTTTGCTCCCTTTACTTCCCACAGGCAAATGTTAATGTATAAGCTCTCTGGTTGCAGGGAATTATTTTCTTTGGACTTAAGCTCTGTGCACATTTATGGTACCTTATTTTTAAAAAAAGCCCAAGCAGAGGAAAAAATACTCAAGGGCACCCATCTGACCCTGCCAACTGAAAGAAGGGTTGCTCCTCTGAGCAGGGATCCTGGCCAAACTTCACATAGCCTCTGCCCCTTCCCTGCAGAGGGTTTAGGAGTAAACAGCCAGGTCCCAAAAGAAATGTCAGGGCACCTATTTGTAACAATACTGCAGCTGTATGCACCTCTCCAGTTCCTTTTGAGCTGCAACATCCTATCAGTCCTAGCTGGGGCAGCCAAAGGAATGGTATAAAAGGGAGCTGCAGCCTTAAAACATCTGGAGGGCCATACAGTGGTGCCTCGCTAGACAGTTACCCCGCATGACAGGTTTTTTTGCTAGACATTGACTTTTTGCGATCGCTATAGCGATTCGCAAAACAGCTATTCCTATTGGGGAATTTCGCTGGACAATGTTTGGTCCCTGCTTCGCAAACCGATTTTTGCTAGACGATTTTCACAGCTCCCTCTGTGCTCACAAAATGGGTGTTTTCGAGACCTAAGCTTCACAAGACAGCTATTTAAACAGCTGATCGGCGGTTCGCGCAGCGGCTTTCCTATGGCCACTCTTCGCTAGGCGACGATTCTTCCCCATTGGAACGCATTACAGGTTTCAATGCATTCCAATGGGGAAATGCTTTTCGGCAGACGATGATTTTGCTAAACAGCGATTTCAGTGGAACGGATTATCGTCTAGTGAGGCACCACTGTAATTGTTCACCCTGCTATAGATAAGTGGGAATTAGAAACCTTTACTGACTATTCAGAGATCAACCAATAGGTTGTGATCTGCTTTCTCACCACCTCATCCTACAATGTGGCATTATAAGGCCCTGTACTGCCTCTGAAGAAAGAACAAAACCCACAAGAATGAGTGTGACTCTTATTCTGGAAGTTCCCCAGGTCTCCTCCCTCTCATCCTTTAAGAGGAGGCTAGATTTTTATTTTTCCAGGAAGTATTTAAGGGCATCTTCCCTTAAGTCATTTCGCATATTTGCTTTCCAGCGTCCACCACTGTTTGGGGGCTTATTTGATGGATATATTCATCTTATTTGCTTTGTTGGGCGTTTGGGGTTTTTATTTCCTCTTTGTACGCTGCTTAGAGTCGTGTCCCACAATAAGTCTATGGTATTTAAATTTACTCGCAAAGCGGCTTTCCTATGGCCAATATTTGCTAGATGACGATTCTTCGCCGTTGGAACGCATTACAGGTTTCAATGCATTCCAATGGGGAAATGCTTTTCGGCAGACGATGATTTTGCTAAACAGCGATTTCAGTGGAACGGATTATCATCGTCTAGTGAGGCACCACTGTAATTGTTCACCCTGCTATAGATAAGTGGGAATTAGAAACCTTTACTGACTATTCAGAGATCAACCAATAGGTTGTGATCTGCTTTCTCCTCACCTCATCCTACAATGTGGCATTATAAGGCCCTGTACTGCCTCTGAAGAAAGAACAAAACCCCCAAGAATGAGTGTGACTCTTATTCTGGAAGTTCCCCAGGTCTCCTCCCTCTCATCCTTTAAGAGGAGGCTAGATTTTTATTTTTCCAGGAAGCATTTAAGGGCATCCTCTCTTAAGTCATTTTGCATATTTGCTTTCCAGAGTCCACCACTGTCTGGGGGCGTATTTGATGCATATATTCATCTTATTTGCTTTGTTGGGCATTTGGGGTTACTTTTTATTTCCTCTTTCTACGCTGCTTAGAGTCGTGTCCCACACCAAGTCTATGGTATTTAAATTTACAAAAATAAATAAATAAGTAAACTGCAACAACAACTGCCAATAAGAACTTGATGTACAGCCTGGAAGAAGATGGTTTATCATTGAGAGATCACGATTTGTTTTTTGTTTGTTTGTTTGATATTCTTAACGGTAGATTAAACCTACTCCTGCATTTCTATCGCAACGAGATCCATATAACTGACTCTCCCCCAAGAGTCCCAGGGATTTTTAGACTCCCCATCAATCCAACATTCTTACCTGGAATCTGACACAACTCTCGCCTCAGAAAAGACCCACCTGCCAAGTTAGCTCTTCAAGTTAGCTCTTTTATTTGGTAAACAAGCACATAAGATGGGGTGGTGAAATCCATGAACCAGGAATGGGGTGTCAGCATCCGTCTCTGGGGCACCCAAGCGGTCCAAAGAGAAGGCAAGAGTAAGGATGGAATCCCAAGGAGAGAGGATCAAGAAAAGCAGGCCAGACCTGGGAGAATCAGCATCATTCCCAGGACCCAAATTTGATGCTTGGCCTACAGCAGGCCTTCTTTGGCAGGGCAGGGGGAACCATTAAGCTTGAGAGCTTGGCCACTGTGGAGGGAGAAGGCGGCTTTCTTCTCTGCCGGGAAGGTCTTTCCAACAGTGTTAAGAGAGTACAGCTTTCCCCTGAACTAGGAAGTTGGTTTTTTTTGGGGAGGGGGGAAAATACACCTCCCAGAATCCCTCAGCGGTCATGTTAGCTAGGTGACTCTGAGGTGTGTTGTCCAAAAAGAAAAAAAGAAAAAAGAAAAATGTCCAAGTTCTGGGTATTGGAGAAAATAAAGGCTGCACCAAGCACACATCTGTTAACAGGGCTGGGAGTTTTCAACCGGTTGTATGCCAAGGATCCCCAGCTTCACTGTGATCTGTTCTGCCTCCCAACTGGTTTCAAGTGAGCCATGACAGTACTTCCAGGAGTCATTCCCTCCCCCAGTGCAAAGTTGTCTCGACCTGGTTCAAAGTTCATTCAATGAATCCGGAGCCTCCACAGCCTCTTCCCACCCCTCCATCCACAAAGGTAACAGCGACCTTTTCTTTGGTCAGAGGATTCCCCTAAACCGGTCCCGAAGTTGTCCAAGTTTGCAGTTGTTAGTCTTTGGTGGGTGGGATGGAAGACACCTATGCAGGACACAACTTTTGCCTAGCTCCCATGCAGCCTCTGTTTGCTTGACTCAGGCTTGACTCAATAGGGAGGCAGAATGGCTGCAACATCTGCAACATCATCTCCCTCGCCCCCCCGCCCCCCAGCCCCAAGACAGTGCCTCCTACATGCAACTCCCTCCCCACTTGTCTCATTTCTTCTTTTTCTCTTGGGTGCTGGTGAACCAGGAGTCCAGGAGCTTCTTACTGTAATAAAGCTGCCAGCCATGAACCTGCACAGCGATCACAATGAGCAGGTACATGACGGACACAGCGGAGAAGCCAAAGATGAAACGGTAGGCCTTTCCATGGCGGTAGAGCTGCTGTGCCATTGGAAACATCTCCATGCTGCCATAGATGAGCGGCGCTATCGAGAAGAGGCCAGTGCTGATCATGGAGATCACCAAGTAGCTGATGTTGTTTCGGGGGAAGGAGAGGAGTCCAAAGAGCGAAGGGACGATACTAAGCAAGTATGGGTATTCCCATTGGTAAGGCATGGCCACTTGGTCATGGGGCAGGAGTTTGAAGTGAGCTACGCACATCTGGGCCACCACCAGCAGCCACAGTGACACCTGCATGTAGATCAGTTTCTTGATCTCAGACTTGAGAGACACGCTGCAGAAACCAGAGAGAAAGAGATAAAGAAAGGAAGGTTAAGCAAGAGCTAATGCTAACTCTAACTGCAAACTGTTAACTTGGACTATCATAATCTTCCATCAGTCTGGTTTTAAAATAATATAATTGACAGAGTTTGTGCACAGCAGTTTTGAGGATTATCATTAGAAGAAGAAAAAACACACTTGCAGAGTAAAACGATGATTCTCCCTTGTGTGTGTTTGTGCCAACAGTTGAAAGTAAATAAAATGATCACTTGGTCTTTGTTAAAAACATTAAATAACTTTTACTGTTTAAAACACATATTGTTATTGTTTAGTCATGTCCAACTCTTTGTGACAATAGCCATGTAGAATATAATAAACTACCAGTGCTTTGTTACTTGTTACATAGCTACCCAGAGTAGATCCAGTCTAGATGGGTGGGGTATAAATCTAAACAAACAAACAAACAAACTTGTACTTGACTATGTTATGTTTGTATATGATTTTTAAAACTTGACAGACATACAGTATTTACTCTAACAACTAAATCTCACATCCCATAACATATCTAACATATACCTGTCAGACTGTACCCTACTATATAACATATTTGCTATATCTGGCCCTATGAAATCCTGTCACCCTTATCAAAGAGTCTGCTGGCACATGCTTTATGTTTATCTATCTGGCTGGCGCCAGACACATTCTGATTGGATCACATTCTAGTCTTTCCATATTAACATATACTGTATACACCTATGTAGCAAACAGGGTCACATAGTATTTAACCCCACACTGATACAGTAATGTTAATTTATTCTCACACTTGCATGTCTGAAAAAGTGGACTTTTCCACGGGGGCTCACATTAAAATACTGTACATAGCACTTAGTCTTTAAGGTGCCACATTTTTGTCTTCATTTTTCCTTTGTTTTTGCCCAACATGCTTAACGTGCACTTAACACATTTATATTTCTAAAACGCACAAATCTTTTAAGAGTCTAAAAAAAGAATGGTAATGGGAATCAAGTCACTGACTTTTTTTTCCCTACAAAGATTGCCACTTTCATCAGCTGCAGAACAGGAGAAATTCCACAGACAAGGGTTTTCTTATCCTGCAGGTAGCTTCCCATCCATCTGTTCATCAGCTGTTATATAACTGATGTATAATAATTTAGCATTTTATTCCACGAGCTGAAAAAGCTTCCACGGAGGCCTATGTAGTGATTGCAAAAACAAGCCAATTTCTGCCTACAGAGTCATGACATACAAAGATAGGCCTTCATGACACCAAGAAGTTGGCAACCAGCTTAGCAGGCTGCTCGCTTTCTTCCACCTATCTTCTGCTTC